AAGAGATCCTGTCCCAAAGTCCAGGCAGGCAACCACAGCAAAGCAGCCTGTATGAGGGGTAGCAGCAAATAGGCAAGAGATACCCACCAAAATGGGTTAGCTATCCTTTTGTGGCTAAGAGACTGTTGCCATGTCAAAGAGGACACTGTCTGTTCTGTTTTCTTCAAGAAGGCAGAAGTCTTTGTTTTTATGCAAAATATCTAGGTTGGCAGAAGATTGGCTAGGTTTGGATCTGCTAACATCTGGGACGTGTTACTAATTCATAATAACTCATCTAGCTCATCAAATTGTTTTGAAGATTAAAAGAAGGAATTTTTAAAAGAATTAATGACACAGTAAATGCCAGTGGCTATTATTGTTGCCTAAGATTAGGTATGATCTGCTGGCACTTAATTTGTGACTTGTGCTATATAGACAAAATGACATATAGAAGGCAGGATACAGAATTGGTCAAAAATATTGGTTTGAGGCAAATTATGTGGATTCAAATCCTATTTTCTCTACTTGCTGGAGGCTGTCTGACTTTGTAAGTCACTTTGTGAAATCTTAGCTTTCTCATCTAGCAAATGGGAATAAAGAGCACCTCCTCATAGAATGCCAAGGATGAAATTTATATGAACCAGATATCACAGTGTTTGGCACAGGATAAAACACTCAGTAAGTATTTGTAGTCATTACTCATATTGTCATTTTTATTGTTTCCCAAGCCCTTGAATTTTTAAATCTATTTGTCGAAGATGGTCTAAATTTTCTGCTTTTGTCTCATTTCTGCCACAGGTATCTGTGCCATGGCATAGCATTATGATTACCACAAGGAATTCACTTTTGAAAACTGATCTATTCATCTGAGAATTGCTTCTTAGGGAACTTCGTCAACTGTTTCAACTGCTCCTAAGTGCAAAGAGCTGCTGCAAACAAGCTACTCTGCCTGGATGTGTCCTTCACTCTACCATCTTAGGAGTGAGTGCTGCCCATAGCCATCCTCTGGGGTGATGTCATGTTGATGTCTACTACTTAACATGAAACACACACACACACGTCTGCACTGAGCTACATCCCCAGCCCTTTTTATTTTTTATTTTGAGACAGGGTCTTGCCAAGTTGCTGTAATGGGACTTGAACTTGCTGTGCTCTTGCCTCAGCCTCCTGGAGTGCTGGAGTTACAGGCACACACCACCATACCTAGCTGCCATAATTTTTTTATAATCTGTAAATACCTAATAACATCAGTTTAAGGGAGTATATAGATGAAATACCCAAGATTCCTCTCTCCATTAATAAAGGCCTGAAAATACACATACTTTTTAGAAAATACAATTTAGGCCAGTTAGGCTTGTGTGCATAAAATGACTTTCTCCAGTGGAGCAAAGAGGGTGAGTCCTTTGTGCAGTTAACCAAAGTTTTCTTGCACACAAAACTAAAGGAAGTTCCCCAGTCTGACTCACGATACAGGTTCAGATTGAGAGCCTTCAAAGTCTTCTCTTTGAAACCGATAGAGAGCTTCAATGAAAGGACTGGGGGCTCCTGAAAACCACAGCACACCTAACACTAGCCAAGGCAAACCCATTTCCCATAAAACACTCCACAAGGGAGGGAAGATACCAATTACACTACAAGTGTCAAGAGGCGCACACTGCTGAGAGTGGACATGCTTCAAGACAACACAGGTCCTCTGTCACTTACTTATGATTTTCAAATACCCTTTCTAGTGCATAGAGAATCTTCTATGTTACAGCCATTTGGGAAAAGAAATTATAGATATGATCTGTTATTTGGAGAACCACCAGACTGTCATGTATAGGCTCCTGCTTTCTCATGTCTAGTTTTACTCTGTAATTTACCAGGTAAGTCTCTGGTTGGCTTTCTCTGAATCTCAAATCACTGAAAACAAGTCAATAAATATGAAAGAGCTGTGCTTTGCAGATAAAAGTCATCAGGAACTTTGCAAAAGAAATTTTTCCTCCTGATAAGAATCTCCACTTCTTCTTATTTTATGCTCCTAGTCATGCATACAACTACATGTAAATTAATTTTGTTTTCTCTCAGATTAATTGGACATCATTTAAATATTAAAAAGAGTAATGTTTACAATGCCACCCTCATCACTTCAGTGTCATCACCTTGTGAGTATGGGGGTCATTAGATGCTCAGGAGTCAGGGCAGCTGAGATTGAAGTGAGGTTCCTCTGGAAATATTTTAATGTAACCGACTACCCCCTTCCCATCCCCTCCCCTCCACAAGACTCACAATTTAAAAATGCCCAAATGCAATAAGAGATATCATTTACTGTCGGGGATGCACATACCAGAGGAAGTGCTGGGGATAAAGGAAATCTGTGAATCAGAGAAAGATGTTGGTATGCAAGATTGAAGATATACCAGCTGGCCCACTGCTTCAGCTGGTTTCCAGAGGCCAGGAAGAAATTAGTCTCACAGTTCAGTTGAAAGAACACCTGGCCATCCACCCAGGGGCACAAATTCACTATGGAACAGGGTTATCTTTGTTTCCATAGCAAACACACCTAGGAATTAAGTCAGTTAAAATTCTATGACTCTCACTGTCCTGAACTGCTTGCCTTCATAAAAAGCAGGAGATGGAGAAGGGTGAGGAAGGACTGTGACTGTAACAATACTGGTGTCAATGGACTGATTCTAAAGGTCGATGATCTTCCCCAACAACTGTATTGGAGCATGTTGCACTGAGTTGCCATGTAGATTGCACTTAAGATTAATAAATGTGAAAGGCCAGGGGAAGGAACTTTATCAAAGCCAAAGAGTTAGTACTCTGCTATAACCAATAAGGTAAATTAGAGGTAGTAAGGCTTCCTGCAGTGGTTACATTTACTCAGTGTTCCCACAGCTTTGAGATCTGCCCAAAGCTCACAATAACAAGTCAGAAATAGAGTCAACTTCCTCACCTGCATGCAAGCTTATGAATAGAAAACATCACTTTACAGCCGAACCTTCAAGTATGACAGTAATTCATTCTCCCAAGAAAGGTCAGGTTGAGTCTTGCCACGAAGCACTGAGGAGTGTGGATGGGTGGGGTAAGACAAAGAGGAAGCTACATGATAGTAGGGGAGATTACTGGGCTGGATTCAAAACAGAAAGCCACATGTGCATCTTGGAGGCAGATGGAAAAGGGTGGTGGTAGAGGTGCCAGCATATGAAGGCAGAATGTGCTAGCAAATCCCCCTGACACAAGTGGTAGGAGACTCGGGCAGATTCACTGTGGAATGTGGTCTGGGAACTGGACTCCTGGGAGGTAATCACCACGGAATCAGTGAAAGGCACAATCTTTGTGAAAACTTTAACCTGTAGATTTTGTTGCCCATTTATTCTTCCTCCTGGTAAGTTCTCATTCCCTCTTCTTGACCTGTTTATGAGCATGTTCCACTTGTCTTTTTTGCCTCCTATCTTTCAGACTGCCAAGATTGGCGAAATATATCCATACATTTTTTTTTTTATTTTTTATTTTTATTTTTTGTTACCAGGGATCAAACTCAGCTCCTTGCGCTTGCAAGGCAGGGGGCAGAACCACTGAGCTAAATCCTTGCCCCCCATATTTTTTAATTGAGGTTTAATCTCCTATGTTCAGTCCGATGAAGTGAAATTTATTTTTTAAAATTTCATGTACTGTTAACATGTCTTGAAATATTTTTTTGCTGAGGCCATCCACTTCTCACTCGGTAAACCACTACAGTTATAACACTGACAAAGGAGGCTGGCAGCATTCAATGCCATTTACTGATACCCACTGTATAAGGACCCAGTGCTTGGTTCCATTCAGGGTAAAAGAATGACAGTCCCTTACCTTAAAGAATTATAATCCAACTGGTAGGTGCCAATAAGCTGGCCACTGCTGCACTCCACTTACTAGATTACTTGAAAATGAAGTCTGAGCCTTTGGAAATATGCTTGTCTGTGGATGCCAGCACAGAGAAGAAATTATTGTTTATAGCAGGAAAGACACTTTAGCAATCCAACATTTCTCCAAAAAGGTCCAATTATAATGGTAACTCAGCATATTAAGGTATACTGAATTGGGGAAAGAAGGTGAGGATCTTCCTTGGTTAAATACATTTGGGGAGTATTGTGTTTATTTAGACAAAGTTTATCAATAGCAGCTTTCTGAACTCCAGTTTTTCCCTAGAGCCTTTAATGGTCTCTGCTAAAGGGTTTTGTGAATCTCCAAAGAGAGGACATAAAATATTCTCCATTTCCCAAATGACACTGGATTAGCTCACAGGACATACTTTGGAAGTTTGAAGGAACTTTACATTCTCAAAGAAAGAAACTAGAATTATCTGAAACAACATGCAAATAACCACAAAACACTACAGCCCGAGTCTACAAGTGCTCGGTAGATACCAAATAAAACAGGTAAGATGATTAATAATAGAAAAAGCAGAGCTTTAGCAGTGTACATTCACTAGTTTTTAGCTGCATCACTATTAATAGTCAGAAATCTAAATTAGCTCCCAAATACTCACTGTGTCAAGTCTGGACTTATCAAAGATAACAGAAGGAGCCAGGGACCTACTTTTATTGAGTGTCTAGTAAGTGCTAGTTGTTGGCTTATTTTTAAAAACCCTGTAACATAAGCAGGTGGTTCCTTAGGTGAAACTTGTCTTGTTCTCTACTGTATCCTCAGCACTAGCATAGGGACTGATACATAGTAGGAGCTTGCTTAGTTCTGGAATGAAAATGAACCCATTTTATAGAGTGATAACAAATTAATCAGATGAATTCCTATAAGCTATGTTTCATTACCTACATGTGTTTCATTATTAGACCAAAGAAGTCATTAGCTGGTGACCCATAGCCTGCAGACAATGTCTTATTTAAAATACAGAGTATTTTAAAATAAATCAGTAACATTCAGGAGTTGGGAGATTTCTGACAAAATCCAGATTTCAAGTTGCTTCTTAAATATCAGAAGATTAGGCAACATTACCAGGTCAGTATTCCCATAAGGCTACAGTCCTTGCAGATAAAAAAGACGTGGCTGAGGAGGAGCCTATCAGTGTCCCTACCACTCTATGCCACTTGGGTCATGTTTTGGTTACCAGTGATCTTCGCGCGGGTGCTCCTGGGCATAGTAGGCATTTGAGCTTGTGATCTATAATAATAGTTAATGATAATAATTCCAAACCCCTTTGTATCTATCAACTCACAACAATCCATTTTACAGAGGAACCAAACAGACGAAGCGTAAATAACTTGCTCCAGAATTCTCGTATTTGGTAAGTGATATGGTGGGTTTGGAACTCAGACGATCTGGCTCCAGACTAGTGCCCTTCAACACCATGGCCTGCTGTCTCTTGCTATATGACTATAACAGAGACAACCTGAATTGCTTCCAAATTTTTCATGTATGAACATCTTGCACCCCCCCAAACCATAATGGCTTCAAAGGAATGAAATGTATCATATTTCCTTTATATTTTACTTAGCATATTTTCCCCCAAATACCTTTTTGATTCAATTGATCAGGAGTAGCTGCATAAGTAAACACATTTCATAATACCCCTAACCACACCAGGAAACTAGCCAAAGTCTGGCTCCCCAGAAGCAAGTCCAATATTGACCAAAGCTGCCATAAGCTGGCAGCCCCACACAGTGAAGGGTGGAAGTCTGCCTTCACACTTCTCACAGTGACAAACATCACTGGCTTGCATTACATATCTTTTAGGCTGATGACGGGAATACACATGTATTAAGTTTCATCAACCCTCCATTTGGTTCAGTGTGGGTTTACCCAAACAGCTGCCTGGGAGCCTATCCGTTCACTTAAATTAGTTCTACTTCTCTACTGCTCTGATTTACTGACAAAGCATTCTCTTTATCTGCTAGCGGCATAAGGGTTTTGTCTAGGCAGATATTGCGGTTGGTACAATCACCAGTTGGGTCATTTAGCATTTCGATGTGGGACACCGACTAGAGAAAGGTATTTTAATTCCCAATTAGTCTGTATCAGCAAAGGAAATGTATTTTCCATTATTTCTTTACTATGGATTCTGATTCATAAAGTATTTTAAGAAAAACACATTTTACGTTACTGAGTCTTTGATTTCCCAGAGAAACTAATAAATAATCAACAAAAATATGATTAAAGACTGCTTGAACTACTTATCCAAAAAGGAACTACAACCAGCAAAGAATCTTTCTGATCCAAATCTTTTTTATTCCTAGAAACAGAATTCTTACTTAGCTTTTCAAAAGGCTGATGAAGGCTTCAGCAAAGTTTTGACATAGGATTTTCATATTCAAAATATCTGTTGAAATAAGGGGAGAAGGAATATGGATCTTGAAACTGCATAAGTCCGAAATAGAGCTTAGTAAGCTAGAAAGAGAAATTACTTCTAATTGGAATTCTGTCCTAAAAAATCCCTTTGAAATCATGTTCAGCTACTTTCCCATTATGTGTTCCAGAGAAAATAACTTTAACCCTTTCTGGAACTATCCATCAAAAATTATTTGATATTTATACATTCCTCTTGGAAGAAACTTCTGGGCAATGGTCTGTGTCACTTAGAACTTAATAATGAACCAGTAGTTCTCAAGGGTCCTCCATACATTTTTAAAAAATGCTTTTCTGGGACATGTCTTCCCATCATTACACTGTTGCTTACATTTACATATGACATTAATCTTGGCCAAAGAGTACAAAGGCAGCTGTCAGCAAACTTCTCAATCTTGGTGCATTTACCAGTGAAATGCTACCACCAAATTCTGCTCCAGCTGTAGTTATTAATCCTAGATTGTAGCTTCTTTGAGGACAGGGAGTTTGATCCATTTAAAGCTAGTGTTTAATAAATGCTTCATGAATCATCAATGAATGAATGAGAGCTGCTGAGCAAGCTTTGCAAGCTACTTAACTTCTATTCTCTTCTGGTTTTCTCATTTGTAAAATGGTAATGATGTCTTCCTCAAAAAAAGCTCATGAGGATTAAATGAGATAATACAGGTGACGTTTATTACATGCATTATATTAGCACAGTGTTTGAAACATAGCAATGTTACACTGTTGTTATTAATATATCAATACACATAATAATATAATAATCATATACATAGCTAAGACTTGTGAATGATTTCTAGAAAATGAGATGGTTCTCCTCCCTTTTAGATCTACCTTGATGTAAAGGCAAGAGACTGGATACTGCCTAGAGATAGCCTATAACACAAAGGTACTTGGTTGTATTTCCACTTCATCAGGCTACAGAATTTTATCAAATGAGAATTGGTGGCTTATATTCAAAATTAAAAAAGGGTTATCCGGCATTTGGGAAATTCTCATGTATATGTATGAGGTGTCTCATTTTGAATCTTTCCTCTCTTTTTAAGGACATAAACTCATTAATGGTTTGTGATGCTTAATATGGATCATACTTGATACAGTAGATATACACTAGTTTCATGGAGTAGCTTAGTTCATGATAAGGATAAGCAAATATCAACCTAAATAACACAATACTGGCTATCCTGTTGGTTTACTTGGTAAATTTTTAATAGGGTCTTTTCTCTAAAAATATAACATTCTAATAAAGATCACCAAATATTTAAATATCTATTTCTTAATTATTTCCCAAAAGGTATAGTGCAAAACCAATTATCTACTGTCCAAAATTAAAAGAAAAATTAATTATGGTACAATGTCTTCCACATTTTAACAAAAAGTTGGGAGGGAAGTCACTGAAAACATATTAAGTGTAGTACGAATAGAAGGTAGGTATGAATCATACAGTATTTTCCCTATCAAGAATTGAGAAAGGACAGAGGCTAATGTTCTCTGCTTCAGTGTACTACAGTTTAATATTTTAACAGAAATTATGTTTATTCTTAGGATGGAACAATATTAAACACGCAGTTACAGAAGAGATATTTTACCATCTTTTAAAGAAAGAATATAAAATTTAAAATGACTTCAGATCTCTCTTATATAGCAAAGCTGTCAGCCACAGGTTATGCATATACTGAGAAGACACAGCACCTTCCTTATTAAAACTGGAACTATTTCTATCTTAATTTCCTAGGACAATATCTCTCAAGAAAACTCAAAGAGAGAAATTCTGGATGACGGAGACATAGATGCAACCTCAGGAAAATCTACATGAACCTGATTTTGCCATATGTGCTTAAGAGTTAATTGAATGCTAAGAGGGTAAGGATGACAAGGAATATAAATAAACTTTTAAACAGTAACATTCTTATTGGATCCTTTCTTCTTCCCACAAATCCATTACCTAGGGTCTCATGATGCAATTTGGGGCTCATATCAACAACTCCTCGAAGAGGTCTTCTTTCTCACAAATGTCTATACCCTGGCTTAGCAGAAATCCAACAACTCCTCAGCATAGCCAGGCACAAGCCCCACAATCTCCCCTGCTATTCAGAGTTGATGTAAGGTGGGAAAGGCTACCAGTATTTCTTAGATTTTTCTCACAATTCCAAGATCTCAACACTGGAAAGTGTGAGTGGATATGTCTGGGAAAGGAGAATCATCTATTTCACAGTATTTTCCCTTCAGCCAGATCCCAGACAAGGCTGCCTGTGGAATGGTAAGCGAGCTGGCCCAGAACCATCCAAGGGAGGAACCACCAAAGAGAACCTGCCTGCTTCCAGAAGGGAGTCAATAGAAGCTGTGCTGCTTTCTCCATATCTTGAGTGGGTCAGGTGCTAGAAAGGTAACCTCACAACTCTTGTTAGCACCTCTGAGATCAACGTAAAGTAGAATCATCCTTATAAGGTCAACATACTATAGAGATACCTGCATACTCATGTTGAATGTGGCACAATTCACAATAAATCAGCTGAGATGTCTATCAATAGATGAAAGGACAAAGAAAATGTGTGTGTGCGTATACAGTGGAGTACTAGATAGCCATTAAAAAGTGAAATTTTGTGATGTGCAGACATATGGTTGGATCTGCAGATCATTACACTGAGCAAAATTAGTCAGACTCAGAAAGATAAATATTACATGTTCTCCCTGATACGTGGAATCTAAAAGAGATAACATGAAAGAAGGGAGACTACTATTAGACAAGAGGAAGAGAATAAAAAGGAGTAAAAAAGTGGTATAAGGGAGGTAATGAAAGGATGAATATGACCAAAATATATTATATGCATTAAACACTCCCTCCAAGAAATGTGGATGCAGAGAGGAGGGTAGGGCAAAGAGGGTGAAGGGAGGTAAAAATGATCAAAGTATGTTACATGCACATACAAATCTTCCGGAACAAAGCCTGTCAATCTGCATAACCAAATGCAGTAATAAAAAATACAAAACAGGAAGGAAGGAATGAATGAAGGAAGGAAGGAAGGAAGGCTGGCTAATAAAAAAAATACAAAACAAAAAGAAAGAAAGGAAGGAGAGAGGGGGGAGGGGGTGAATTACTCACTCTTTGGCACTTGGGGACTAAGTGACTTGAGTAAAAGTCCCATATGTCTGGTATGTTTGTGAGACACATGACATTATACACATTTTGGAGAACTAAGGAAAAAAAATCACATTTCCTGCCTTCAAGGAGCTTCCAATATGATATTAGCAACCCCACCCCCAGTCAACAGAAATAGGGTATAATTACAAAATTGTAAAAGGAAGAAGTACTTCAGAGACTGAATAGATGGACCCGAGTAAACTTAATTACAAACAACAGTTTACAAATTCCCAATTAGATCAGTTTCAAAGTCCAGTTTTTCAATGCTTCTGGGCCCCCTTGGCAATTAAGGGCAATACACCTCAGTGTTTCCTACATCTCAGGATATTTCAGAGGCTCCAAGATAGGAGGCTCACCGAAATTCCCAATAAGGGTGCTGATCTCACAGCACAGCGCTAGAAAGCAGATGCTCAGCTGACAGGCAGAACATCAGTAAGGCTCACTGACTCACTCAACACAGGCAGTGAGTGCACAGTTGCCCAGCCCTGAGCTGGGCCCTGGAGATGTAACAGTGGACAGGACAGCCATGGTTCTTACTCTTGGGCAGAGTTCATCTTAGGGGGAGATGCAGGATAAATCAGCAAGGAAACAAATGGGTCTTTCAGGTCCAGCTGAATGCTTGGAGGGAAAAGGAGCAGGATGACAGGACTGTCTGACGGTTTGAGAGGGAAGGTAGATAGCTTTACTGAGGACGGTGAGGACAGGGCTCTCCAAGGAGGTGACGTTTGAGAAATAAAAAATCCGAGGTGAGAGGAGCAGAGAGCATTTTAGGCACAGCAAGTGCAAAGGCTTAGGAACAGAGCCCAGGGTGGCAGGATGAACAGGGCTGAGCATGCATAGTGGCAGCAGCACCGATGATGATAAGAAGACCTGTTTTGCTTCTGGTGTGATAGGGTAATGGCATGGTCTGACATAAATTTTTAAAAGTTATATTATTTTGTTTAGAAATGAATTAAGTATAATTCGCATGCCATATGATTCACTTATTTCAAGAATACCCTTCAGTGTGTCTAAGTATATTCCTCCCTGCTCACTCCAGCCCCCGACAACCACCAATCCATCTACTTTGTGTCTCCATTAATTTCTGACTCTTCTGGACATTTCTTTTCTTTTTTTTTAGGCAGGGTTTCACTATTAGTTCAGGCTAGCCCTGAACTCATTACGTAGCCTAGGCTGGTGTCAAACTCACTGCAATTCTCCTGCCTTAGCCTCCCAAATGCTGGGATTACAGGCATGCAGCATCACACCCAGCTTCTAGACATTTCATATTAATGGAATTAAAAGTATTTTGTGACTGGCTTTTACTTATCTCCATGTTGTTAATGCTCATCTATGTTGCATCATGATTTAGTACCTCATTATTTTATTGCTAAGTAGCATGCATGTATCACATTTTTCCCCCAGTACTAAGGACTAAACCCAGGGCCTTCACCCTGAGTTACAACCCTAGGACTATTTATTTTATTTTGGGACAGGGTCACACTAAGTTACTCAGGTTGGGCTTGAGCTTGTGATCCTCCTGTTTCAGCTTCCCAGAGTGCTAGGATTATAAGTGTGCCCCACCATGCCTGGAATATAGCCCATTTGGATTAGCCATTCATCACTAACTGGACATTTAGGTTGGTTCTACTCTTTGGCTAGTATTAATAATGCTGTTTGGAAAATTGTGTACAAATTTTGTATAAACACAGGTTTCCATTTCTCTTAGGTAACTAGGAGTGAAACTGCTGAGTCATATGGTAATTCTATGTGTAGCCTTTTTAAGAACGTCCAGACTGTATTTCAAAGTGTACCATTTTACATCCTTACCAGCAATGCATGAGAGTTCCAGTTCTCTCCCTTCTGATCAAGACTTGTTAATACCTGTCTTTTTGTAGGCCTAAATTTTTAAGACAACACTTAAAATTTTTTCAAAGTTATCAATGTTTTAAAAATAATTATAAAAATTGATTTGCTTATTAAGAGCTCTGAAGACCTGAAGTTACTGGAATTCTAAAGGATAATGTTGTAGCAAGGGAAGTAGAGATCTCTGTTATGAAACTGCCAAGCAGAAAATAAAGACAATGAGATAAAGTAGAACACATACATCTTTGCTCGAAATTTGATAAAAATGCATTCAAGAAACTAGGAAAGACCCTGGAAAGGTCAAACTCAGAAGAAGAGAACTGGATCTTATCCAGTTGAAATCCCTTATTTTATAGCTGTGGAAATGGGTTCAAAGAAATAGAGTGATTTACCCAAGGTCACATGCAGATGAGTGGCAGGGTTCAGCTCACAGTACGCACTTCTTGACTCCTATTTTTTGTTGTTAGGAATCATAATAAATCAAAGAAACAGCTCAAAGGTAAAAGTATACCTAGTGGTTCCAACTCTACCATTCATCACACATTATACCAGTTAAAAGGCAATATAAGGGTGATTATCGCTGTGCTTTAATCATATTGTGTTGTCTAAGACATGCTGATGGACATGTGTTTTGGAAAGTCAAATAAAACCACAGAGTTGGTTGTCACTGGCTCTATTTCTTTAATTTACATAGGCTCAGCTTGCCTTTGGGGAATTTACAGACCAAAGCAAACCTGTCCCCTACAGACACTGTGGCAACAATTCTTAAAGCAGAGTTATTCTGTTTGTTGTTGCAATCACTTGTAATCAGAGAAATCAGAATGTTAGCATGATTCTACAGAATTATACGGTAGCTTCAGATGGACCAGAATCTCTCCCCCTCAGCCGTCTTAGGAATTACCAGTAGCTGAGAAAAATATCTACAATCCAGGATCTGATTTAGGACCAAAACACCAAGGGGATTTTTCCCTCATAAATATATCTGTTCTCCATTCTTCACCCTAACCCCCTTCCTTTTCTTTGAAATTTGAGTAGGACTCCTATGCCTGCTGACCTGTTAGAATATACTTGCTTGTTTGCTTTCGCCTACGTTTTTCTTAATGCAATAACTTGAAATGTCAACATGAGGTGACAAGTAAATCCTCAGTCAAAATAAGTTTGCAGTCAAACAGGAGGAGGAGGAAAAAAAAAAAAACTTATAAAAAGCCAGCTGTAGAGTTCGTTGAATATTGGCCAAATGGCCACAGCACTAACAGAGCAAAAACATTTATCATCAGACAAGATCATTCCTGATTTCTTATTCAGCAATTGGCATGCTAGATCCTTTTCTTTGGGATTCACCATTGCCCCGACTTTCTATCGACTGCATCAAGTAGGTAAAGAGAGTCCATAGCACACTGGCTATAAACCCTGGCTACATTTCTCAAAGCCAGATGTACAGATAAAAAGGAATATCTGTTAATCCAGAGGGGGAAAAGACCAGGTACGTCGATTTTTAAAAATTTCCCGAGAGGTAGAAACAGTAAATCAATGAGCTCCTCTGCAATGTATTCTGGACAGAATCGAGACTTTTCCATTCTAACTTGCCACAAAGTGTGGGAGATTCTGGACAATTAAAGCAAATCTGTATGATGGGCAAAAGGAAGTTCCATGGAGTTGTAAATGGAAAAGAGAAGACAAGGTCTGCCAGCCAGCAACCAACTGCTTTCATGGGATCTTTCACAGGGACTACCAAGCAAAAATGCACAACATGCCAAGTTATGAAAACTCAGTCTTTTACATAGTTTTCCAATTTTCACCATAGACTCTCCCTTTTCCCCGCTTGGTTTGGCGGCCTTAGCCCTATGGCAGCTTGTCTGCTAAGGCCCTCAGCTGAGAGGGATGAG